GCGTGATATGGGCGCAAGGTGGGCGCGATTATTATCCGCTCGCGCGGCGTGCATTCCGCCATTACTGCTGGTTTATCTCACCGTTATTATTTAGTTTTCCGGCTATTAGCAAATTAAAGAGCCGTCGCGCTTAATTAATCAGCCGCGAGGCTACGCGCGCTCCTGCTCCAATCACATTTCTCCGAATAATTAACTCCATGAATAACGTTCGTGGCACTCGCGAACTTGCTGCGGATACGCGCGAGCGCGTTAATTGAAGACGGTTAAGGTGCAATGAATATTTTTGCGTGACGCTGACGCGGGAGGAATAACGGGAGAAGCGGGGAGAAGAGCGAGTTGTTACATCGCAAAATAGATAGATTACACTAGAGTGTATATCGAGTGGTGATAAAAAGGGGGGAAATGGGAGAGGCCTCCATGCACGAATCGAACAAGGTCGTGCAACAGGTTCTGCAAGGGGTAAAGATGGTGAAGCACGCGAGCTACTTAGAATCTCCAGCGTGCACCTTCGAGGTGGGTGCCTCGTTGCGCTCAAAGTTCAACCAAGGACGGTTCTTGGTTTTCACGAAGAAATATTACCCAATTCGCTAAACATCGCCTATTACCACGCCGATACGCACATATTAAGGCTATGCAATCATTTCAGCGAGATCAATCAAAGCGCTCTTAATGACGTTTCTCGTTACTCGGCCTGAACAAAACTCCGCCAACTGAGAGAGAAACTAACCAACAGTTTACCGCTCGGAATGCCCGCTGCGTCGCTGCCTTTACCTTCGTCGTTCATACTGTGACCTTTCTTTCTGTCGCTTTTAAGCCACCATAGAGATACTACCGTGGCGTCTATTTTGTTCTCGGTATTGTTTGCGCACGGACGAGTTCGGAATTTTTTCCGAGACCCTCTCGCGTTTATTCACCTTTCTGGCATTCTACGCACGACTACGGGTCTCGCCTATTTACAGATTCGGGACTCGTTCGTGAACCAGAATGCGTCTCGTGTAATTCCTTCGGTCTTGCCTACGAGGCCCATCGGGACGAAGGGAATATTGGATTTCCGTCGCGCCAGCGATCAACTTTCCGTACATTAAATTTCTTGCAAAAATATGTCTCAACTAATTTTCTTTCTTTTGGAGGGAGGGGGAGAGTCAGAATGAAACCAGAATTAAATAGTAGAAGAGGTAGTTTCTATTCTGGTGACCTCCTTTTGGCGTCTGCAACTCTTTCAACAGCTTTCCTTGGAGAAAGACTCTTTAATAGAAAGGAATGGCAAAATTGAAACAAAAATGTCGCATGATATTGAATGATATGAACATAATAGAGGATGCAACTCACCACCAATTTCTATGTCGACGTAATGCACCGGAAGAGAGATTCATTGTACTCGGGGGTACTTATTTTATTAAAATCGTGAGCGATTGCCTCGCCTATGATCAATGATATATGGTTATAACGCATGATACGTTATTCTAGGTAGACTTTTATGATGTGGAACAATCGATAGTGAAAACTTGACAATTATTTCAATTACACTTATGAGGCAAATATACTGTACTAAACTAATCATTAAATTTACATCATGATGAATAAATTTTGCGTTATATCGATGCAACAAGAAATACATTTACTCAACATTACTCACAGATTTTCGTACTACATTTCGTGTGACATATTATGTTGAGCAAATTTTGCTCTGTCAAAAACAGGTTTGCCTCCAATTACTGCACTGAGACAGAAAGAACCCAACGGTACGTTTCGACCGAAAGATTATCCCGAATTGACCTCGCACTCTCGACATACAGGTTTCTGTAAGACGTATATGACCTGTCCAAAGTACAGCTGGAAAAAGACTCGGAGGGAGAGGAGAGAAAGAGAGAGAAGGAGGAAGGGAGAGAGAGAGAGAGAGGGGGAAAGAAAGGAAGAGAGAAAGAAAGAGACAGAGAGAATGAAACCCGTTTAATACTCTAATAACAGGATACCAATGCGGATCATAGAAAGGGTGACGGACGTACGCGTCAGCCATGAAGTGTCATGGACGTATCGCTAACGGAGTGTCACGGACACATCACACTTCCATCTCTGCCTACTTCCACACACATCGAACACGGACGAAACTGCTTGAGGTCGGAAGCGCGTGACGACGGTCAACCGGAAGTGAGTCGCGGTTGTCCTGGAATGTGCGACCCGGAGATACGCATACCTCGCGCAAGATTGACAGATGCTATTTACGATATCCGAAATCGCCATTAGGATTGATGAGTGGATGCAATTCTCGTTCTTTCCACGACGATTGAATTGCTCGAACCGCGTGCAGCTGTACGCCGACCCGCTTTGCGTCACTTCAGAATTTTATGGCACACAGCGAGCTACGTTTAGCGTCACAAGATCGCGTGACGGCGGCTTAAGTTACATCTGCGAGGCACTTTTTTTTTTTTTGTTGAATGACGTAGGTCTCCGCGAGCCTCGTTGGCTTGTATTCTCACTTGTTACTCACACGGATCCCAGACAGACCGGAGTAAGTGTGCCTTCGGCGCTTCCAACTGGCGATTAAACGCAACGTCAACAGCGTACTGTGACAACGCTGGCACAACGATCTCTAAGTTGCAGCAAATGCAGAGAGTAATTTTGCCAAAGAAAAAAGGGGAAAAGTAGAGTACAAAAATATCTTCCCGTTAAATATCTTCTCCAATCTCTCCGGCCATCTTAAACTAAATCTCTCCGGTTCTACACACGACATTCTGCAGCGCTTTTGCAGACGAATCGCGCGCTTTACTATGTTGTCGAGCAGCTGCGTTTAATCGCCGCCAGTGTGCACGGCAAATAATTCCAACCACGGGTTGAATTTGTTCCCTTGCCAGCCCCTCGTCGTGCCTCCGAGCAAATGAAATTCTCGCATGCCTCACACCAGCCTCGCATTTTCCGATTCTCTCTCCGCTGAGCCCGCCGGCGAGCTATTCAGCCCTTCTTTGTACAATTAGGAGTTCCTGTCGTCGTCCACGCGGCGGCAGGCACGGGAAATAGGCAGCCTGTAGGTGGTAGGATCGAGGGAGGCTAAGGGAAGGTGGGAAAAGGGACGTCGCAAAGGAATAGAGGGAGATAGAGCAGGGATCAATATGCACTTCACTGTCGTGAGCGGATGTAGGAAGAGCAACTTCGTCGCGCCACGTCCGAACGAATGTCGTGTTCGTGTTAGCAAGCGAAGCTTAACATCGATGTTGCCTCCGAATTGCCACTCGGAGCAATCGATTGCTTCGTTCGAAAATCGTTCCTTCAAGAGAATCGTAATTACAATTTGACTACTTCTTTATGATTCGTTCTTTTTCTCTCTCTCTCTCTTCTTTCTTTTCTCTCTCTCTCTCTCTCTCTCTCTCTCTTTTCTTCTTCATACGCGACACGCGTATGCAGTCAGCGCGAGATGAAGTTCATGCCTGATGTATTTGCTGTCCGTCGCAGAACGTGCATGTTACACGTCAGCGATGGCGTTATAGATTCGCGGCGCTGCTTCTCTTTCCCAAGTCTGGGATCGTACGTGCCGCTTCCGGTACGTCATGCACATACGCCGTCAGTAATTGATCGGAATTCATAGTTACGTGGAGCGAGCGAGTACATCCACCTCACACACGAATCGATGTATCGTTCATTTTTTATTAATAACTGTTCCCCTATCCTTCTATTTTTAATCTTCCACAAGCTAAGATAGCTTAAAATAGCCTTCAACCAGACTCTTCAATTCTTTACCAATTCTGAAAAGTTTCATGCAAATAATATAACGTTGTACCATAAACTTGGCGAAATAACAGACACTTTATTATATAATTCGATTTAATGCACTGAGTTAGAAAATTATGCAAACCTTTTACGTTAACGGCTTGATGCCTGGACAATCGCGTTGCTACAGAGTCGTCGTACAGAGAAATAAATGAAAACGTTTGATGTAAGTGGCTAGCAAGTTAATAGCGAAATTTCGCGACGGAGAAAGCGAAACGTCGAACAGAAGTCGTGAAACGTTGCCCACAAAGTTAAGGTTGTTTCATATCGTGTAGATAGCAGCGCAAAATATATCCGACACCTACATTTCGTGTATACATAGATTAGGTCAAAACTGGACGCAAAATCCCTTTACAATTTTGCAAACAACCACGTAAAATTTCGAGTTATTGATTAAAGAAAATTGGCGGATGATCACGCGCGATATAGCAGATAAATTGTGAAAGCGACATCTACCATTGTGTGGACTGGGTCAAATTAAACAAAAAAGTTCTATACTATTTTACAAATAACCACATAAATTTTGAGTTACCAATTAAAGAAGATTGGCGAATGATTGCGCGCGATATTCCGACATCAGAGTTCTTTAGTTAATAACTAAACATCCACGTGATTGTTTGCAAAATGGTAGAGAACTTTTTTGTTCAGTTTGCCTTAATCTACATGTACACACTACATAGAACACTTAGCGTCAGGCACACTGTATACGCAGTCAGGCTCACGGAGAGTAAACACATAGACCTTCGTCGGTGACACAACAAATGACACTTTGCAAGCTACGGTCCTCTTCTCTTGAGTTTCACGAGTCTCTTGATCATCCTCGAGGACGCTAGAACCTTGAAATTCAAGATACGCCGTTGATTTATAACGGGTCCTTACCAACACCAGCACGATTCGCAGATCACGGTTACAATACTGCGCGCGGTCGTGGGAGCGCCTGCGCAAGTGTCGAGATGAATCTAAAATTTAACATTGTCGTCAGGAACAGTTAGGCGTACGCATATTCCCATGCGGTTTTGCAATTTTGCATAATTCGATTCAGATGCAAACGTGGCCAGCTCTTCATACGCAGCGATCAGTTAATTAACTCATGCATATGTGGAGGAGCGCATACGTTATTAATTATTTGCCGAAATTTACAAATCAATGAGACACCATCGACGCGTGAATTTTTCATTATTCTGGTTTCGACAAGCCGCGTTAATTAACGGAACAATTCTCGTATGCTTCGTCTGTAGGTCACGTATTCGGCCGATCTCGCGATCGAGATACCGGGCAATCTCAGCCAGGGTGGTTCCTGGTACCGTTTGGATTACAGCCCACCCGTCGGCTCGCCACCGCCGAACACCACTATAGCCGCCACCGACATCGGTGATGTCATAAAGTTCAGGGACGGCCTGCCTGGGACAAAATACGAGTACTGGTTGTACTATAGCAACAGCACTCTTCACGATTGGCTGACGTGGACCGCGTCGATTACGACACGTGGGTAGTCTACGATGCTGTTGAACGACGATGGATATTTTTGACAGAATCTAGTCAAATAATATGAATAAAATTCTGTCAAAATGTAACGAACAACCGCAAATTAATTATTAATGAAACTCTTCTAAAGGTTGAACGATACTTCCAGAAAATACAGTTGACTCTTCGATTATTCGAATTCCATAATTTTATTCAATTTTATCCTCTGAATATTTTTATATCTGCAGTATTTATCTTTTATTATTTTATAAATTCATTAATTAACGATTACTTGTAATCAGCCGTGTAACTGAAAATTAACGAGCAAGTTGTTAAGCACGCGACGAAACATTTGATCAAGAGATATCAGTTGACACGGTTTCTCTCACCCTTAGCGCCCGACCCTCCTTCGAATTTGACTATCTCGGTGCGAAATGGGAAAACCGCGATCGTGTATTGGTCGCCTCCGGCGCAGGGGAATTATTCCGGTTTCCGGCTGCGGACGCAGAGCTTCAGCGACACCGGAAATCCTAAAACCAGCGTCATCCCCGTCGACTCGGTGCCGTACACCCTCCGAGATCTCACGCCCGGCGCCACGTACTCGCTGCAACTCTTCACCGTGTTGGACGCCAAAGAAAGTGTCGCTTACACCAGCAGGAATTTCACAACGAGTACGTATTCCAAGAGGCCGGAATGTTTCGTAAATATTTCGGCGAGCGCCTAACGTTGAAATACTTGCAGAGCCGAACACTCCCGGCAAGTTCATCGTCTGGTTCCGAAACGAGACGACGTTGCTGGTACTGTGGCAGCCGCCGTATCCTGCCGGAATTTATACTCATTACAAAGTCAGTATAGATCCGCCGGACGCTATAGAGTCCGTTCTTTATGTGGAGAAGGAAGGCGAGCCACCTGGTCCTGCGCAGGCAGCTTTCAAAGGACTCGTTCCAGGTCAGTCGTTTGCTGTCGTATAATTACGCGCGCATAACGTTCAGCTAACGAACACGACAAAAAAAATCGTATTACATTGCGTAAAAGAGATCCGGAGATATATGCGAGAATAAATTATGTATATTATGTGTCGCAAAATATCAGCAGAGAAATACGCGCCGGGATCAAACAGTCGTTTTCTTTTTCCTAGCGGAATTGCTCCAGCTAGAATCGCGGAGAAAGTATGCGTCCGTTACAAATAGAACAATTCGTGAATCGCAAGACGAGCAAAAGTAGTCATTGTCAGACGTTTCATTTCCTACATTCGGTACGCCGTGGACTTTCGACTCGCCTGGTTATACAAGTGCAACGGAATTTATTGCTCGTTATCACAATCGGTATCTGCGGCGTTCCCTCGAAAGCAACAAAGTTGTGTAATGAGAAAAAACTTGCTATGGTGTAAAAATCCATAGTGAAACTATAAAGCGAGTTTTCCTCGCTCGGATAGAGAATGCGCGATATGCAAGTGTTAAATTAGATTAGATTCAATTAAAGTAAACTAGAGTTCATTTAACCCTGGCGTCAATTCCTTAGAATTTATAACGATGAAACGTTCTTGGAAAGTTTTGTGTCAAAAAGTGCATGCAATAGCTAATAATTTTTGTATACAGATGCTTAAAAAAGAAAGAGAGTACATGGCGGTACATACACATAGAATAATGCGATAAATCAGAAATACAAATGCTTTGTTCCAAAAGAAATTAAGAAAAGCTTATAAAACATAAATAGTAACGCAAGTTGCAAAATAATAACGGCACGAACTGTGAACCCACTTCGTCCTCTCAGGTCAGTTTTCTGATTACAGGCAGGGCGTACAACATTTCCGTGCAGACTGTCTCGGAGGATGAGACATCCGCGCCCACTACGGCCCAGTACCGTACGGTGCCGTTACGTCCTCTCAACGTGACCTTTGACAAATCTTCCGTGACATCGACTTCCTTCCGTGTATTTTGGAACCCGCCGAACGGCACGTCCGAGTTCGACAAGTATCAAATATCACTCGGCAGTAATCGCAGACTGACACCAGTTACGAGAAATCGAGACGACGAGAGCAGATGGGAGTTCAAGGACTTGGAGCCTGGCAAGACTTACCAGGTGGTCGTGAAGACGGTTTCTGGCAAGGTTACCAGTTGGCCCGCCAGCGGAGACGTTACTTTGAGTACGTGCCCACTTGACGATCTTCGCGTTCTCCCTCAATTTAATACTTGCTGAAAGTGGCGCTGCTCGTAATTGTTTATGACTCTAATGCTTCTTGACCTTTTCTCTGCAGAGCCACTGCCTGTTCGCGATCTCAGAGCCGTGATTGATGAGAGAACTGGTATGGTGGAGGTTTCCTGGAGCCCGGAGAATTCCAGCACGCAAGACAGTTACAAGCTGCAATACCACGAAGTGGAAACGACAATTGGTGGCGATAGCAACACTTTAACAACCGACCAGACGAAGGTGAGCTTTTTGTTAGTTGTAAATAAAAAGCACTTTCGAACTTTGTAACAATTTTCCAATTAAGATTAGGTTTCAATGAAACTTAAGGTGCGTTCAGAAGACACAACTGTTGCACAACGGTTGAGTAATTAGTCAACGTAATTGATCTAAAGTTAGGGATCTAACAGTAAGGACCAATAATCACTGACCGCTCACTGATCAGCTATGTTTTCTGAACGCAGCCTTAGATTTAAGTTTTAAACTCTCTCCTAACGACGTTTGGTGTTTAAACAGAGCTTAAACTTAAACCTAAGTTCAAAAAATCTAACCTGTATTCACATATATGACACTCTTGTTTAATCGATAGGTCACTCTGGAGGCTCTGTTGCCGGGGAGAAATTATTCCATTATAGTTCAAGCGATCAGCAATAAAATTGAGTCTAACGAGACCATTCTATATCAAGCGACTCGTCCTGCCAGTCCCATAATTGAAGACCTCAAGCCGATCGAGAAGGGCTTAAACATATCTTGGAAGAGCGACGTTAATTCCAAGCAAGAGAAATTCGAGGTGACACACAACAGAAACGACACCGGAGAGAGTGCTACCACTTTGACTACGGAGTCGCACATTGTCTTGGAAGATCTTTACCCCGGTGCAGCATACGAGGTCAAGGTCTTCGCCATTAGTCATGGACTCCGAAGCGAGCCGCACGACTATTTGCAAGCCGTCTGTAAGTGTTAATTATCAATCCTTCCGGGTTCTCAGACCATTATCTTCCGTCCGACAACAGCAGCGAAAGTTTACTTGATTCATCAACGATTTAACAGTACCCCATCCACCGAAGAATCTCAGCATCGAGAAAGTCACGAGCAACACTGTTGTCGTACATTGGGAGGCACCTACCGACTCGATATTCACCGAATACTCCATCAGATATCGCACAGAGGACGATCCCAGATGGGTGAAGCTACCCAGCGTTCGCGACATGGAAGCGGAAGTAGCGGATATGACGCCAGGCGAGAAATACACCATACAGGTGAACACCGTCAGCTACGGCGTGGAGAGTCTGTATCCGTTACAAGTGAACCACACAGTCAGTGAGTATATGATTTTGTTACCCACCTCCGATCATGTGTTTCTCACATTGTAATTGTCCATTGTAATTACCCAAATTGTTAATTTGCATCGAAAATTTGTACTCAAAAGAGCGCCTTTGTCATCAGGACCCAATCCAGTTCTAAATATCACGCCGATAATCGACTCTACTAACGTGACTCTGGAGTGGCCGCGACCTGAAGGTCGAATCGAGGTCTATATCATAAAGTGGTGGCCAGTGGAGAATCCGGAGGAAAAGAGGATGAAGAACGTCAGTGAAAATAACGACGTATCCGGCATCAGTTTCGAAGAGAGCGCTGTGCAGACCGAGAGAGTACTGGTGGGTGACTTGATGCCCGGGGTGGAATACTTCTTCGTCGTCTACACAATCTCTTATGAGTTGATCAGCGATATCAGCAATCTGACCACAAGGACAAGTGAGTACGCCGTCCTTGTTCTCGTTATCGGCGATAACGAGGGAGTTCTTATTACGATAGCCGTTACGTTTCGCTGCTTGACAGCTCACTAACGAATTTCGCCTGGGCATGAGTGCTAACAGATACACGACACTTGCGAGTTCTTATCTCCTGGTTACTAATCTCGTACGTTTCGTCGTGTTTGCTTTTACACTTCCATTTACACATATTTCTCTCTCTAACTATCTCGATGCTACGCATCGATGAACTAGGCGATTTCGTTTCGAAGGCTGACGGGCGATGGGCGATCGAAATCTCGGAAGGTCGAGTCGTAACAAACAAACACGAAACTTTGACATTTAGTGCCGCTGATCCAGTCCGAGGTCGTCATAGTGGTTGATCGCGATCAGCCGGGATCCCTGACGTTAATATATACGCCGACGCCGATTCAGTCTTCGAGGTTCGATCTGTACCGGTTCAGGATTAGCGACGCGAATAACACCACGGAGGAGCGCAAAGTGGAGAACACTGACACCAAGGTGACATTTGTCGGATTAACACCTGGCAAACTGTACAACGTGACCGTCTGGACAGTAAGCGATAATGTGGAGAGCAGACCTCTCCTGCGGCAGGATAGACTCTGTGAGTATCCACGTGGCGTAGCGAGAATTAAAAGCGATAATTCTTTCCATAGATGTTTACCTCGCAAATTTTGTCGGTACACGAGTGAACGCTGTGTCTGCTTGGAGTTGTTCGAAGTCAAGGGATTGAAACTTTAGTGTGAATCATTTGTGTATTTAACGTAACGTACTAAGAGACCGTACGAATTCACAGATAATCCACTCAGCCGTGTGGACCATTGTATTCTGAAGATATCACTTGTATATATTATTTATTTTGTGATATAACATCGCGATATTATATAACTTCATACACACGCGTGCAAATATAGTGTCTGTAGAAAGATCGCAGTGAAGGATTAAAGGAAAACGATGTGTTCGCGAAAATATATGTGGTATATTACACGCGCCGACAGTATTTTTGTGCAATATCCATTGTCTGTACAGTATTTATGTGTTACCATATGTTATTATTATCTATTTGTTTTAACAAAATCATCTTCTTTGATTTTTCTTTCAATTAATTTATCGATAGTTCACGTCGCCGCCTTTACCAGCTCGAAGCTAAATATAATTTCTAGATCCTGAACCGATCACTGCGATCCACGCGGTCGACATAAATGATACGAGGATCGCTTTGACGTGGGATGTACCGCATGGAAAGTACGATGCTTTTGAAGTGCAGTACATAAACACGGAAGGCAACTACATTCAAAACCTAACCACCGCCAACGTGATCACCATATTTGATCTCAAGCCACATAGAAATTATACCTTCACATTGGTTGTACGTTCGGGCACAGAATCCTCTTACTTGAGGGTCTCGAATCCTCTCAGCGCTAGCTTCACCACCAGCGAGTCGTATCCGGGAAGAGTGGAGAAATTCCATCCCACCGATATCCAGCCGAGTGATATCAGCTTCATATGGTCTCTGCCTAGTCAGGAGCAAAATGGCATCATCAGAAAGTTTAGCATCACGTATGGATTAGAAGTGAGTTTTCCTTCGGTAGAATCTGCTTGTTTTTATAATTACGACACAGTTGATGCTATTTCGTATCTCTTCATTCCTTCGTGTCGAAGAGATGTACTTTGGATTACACAAATATCCTTGTGGTTCCATTAGGGCTCAACTCACACTCAGATGCAGGACTTCAGACCGAACGAATTTCGCGGGATCATCAAGTCCCTTATACCAGGCAAAACCTACATTTTCCGTATCCAAGCAGAGACGAAGATTGGTTTCGGTCCAGAGACGATCTGGAAGCAGAAGATGCCGATATTAGCGCCACCGAAACCGCCTATGCAGGTGGTTCCAACCGAGGTCTGCAGGAGCAGCACGACTATTCAAATTAGATTCAGGAAGAATTACTTCAGCGAGCAGAATGGGGCGGTCACGTCGTACACCATCGTTGTCGCGGAGGACGACAGTAAGAATGCTTCTGGCTTGGAGATGCCGAGTTGGAGAGATGTCCAGGCTTACAGTATTTGGCCACCTTATCAGGTAACATCAATTACAAGTATTTATTATGCAATAATTACTACTAAACATATAGGAAAGGAAAAAATAAAAAGTGGAAAGAGGAAAAAGAATAAGTTAAGATGCGAGGAAAGGAAAAATGTAAAAAGATAAAAGGCGTGTAGATGTAAGGAAAAAAATGTACATAGTAACTTCTTAGCGCGAAGTTGAAGTTAGAAATAAAGATACAGAAACTATTAAACATATAGATTTAGATAACTGATAAGATACATTCTTTAAAGTAGAGATTTAGATATTCATATAAAAAATTTCGAATTGCTTCGTGAAAACAAAATGGATGCGACTTTAAACCAGTGGTTGAATGAATATGCGTACGGCTTCCTCCTTGCGTCGGTCAGTAATATCAATTTGAATTCGACGCACCGAGTACGCCGAAAGGATAGGCAGCGAAACAGACCGTTTAAGATAATTGATGCAGCAGATTATGCCATGTGGCTCGTTAACTTGCAAGATCACGAACGGTCGTCGTAAAGCGACGCGTTATTACGTAGATCCGCGATCACGCATAAACGCCTGCGGGCTACGATCAACGTATCACGCGCTGGCCGAGCAACAAGTCGAAGGATACGCGTAATCTAGTCGCGATCTGATGCTGCGAAGGCGAAGATGTAACGCGAGCACTTCGGGAAGTTAAATCACAGAACAGTTTTCAGTGCGTGTCCGAGCTTTAAAATTTATCGGAAGACGGTGCGCTTTTAACTCGCGAGTTTCTAAATGTTTCTAAATGTGTTACAGTCTCACAGCTTTGATAACGCGAGTGCGAATCGATCTCGTGTTAAGTCGGATTTTTATCCAAAAATAAGGTCATCAAGTGATCATGAAAACGTAACGCGTTATACGATTACGTAACTCATTACCGAACAGAACATTTCGTCATTTCGGACCGATTGTTCAGCGGATATCATGTTGAACTAATTGGCTGAGCTTCCTGCCAATTCTTCGAATGATATCATCGGTTAATGTTGCACCAAGAGAATTGCGTTGCAAGCCAGAAATATAATTTATCGTAGAATAAAGAGGAAATCGTTAAGAACAAAAAATTCGACGATGGATCTTTTGAACCGCATAATTTCGAAAGCCTCAGAATTTTTCACGCAGGTGCTCATCGCGATAACACGTGCACGCTTTCTATTACAGTTGAGGGAAAACGGTTATTTAAAAAAAAGAACATTTTAGGTGATGGAGCCCTATTATCCTTTCAAAAATGGATCCGTGGAAGATTTCACGATCGGGTCTGAGAACTGTGACAACAAAAAGATTGGATATTGCAACGGGCCGTTGAAATCAGGGTCTACGTATCGGGTGAAGGTGCGAGCGTTCACGGCACCGGACAAATTCACGGACACCAGCTACAGCTTCCCCATTCAAACAGGTGAGAGCGATCGCGTGAAATGTCTCAAGACGCAAGAAAAGTCGCGCGCCCGTTTCCGGTTTAACATATCCGAAGTCTGTTTCATGACATAGTGAATGCCTGCTCAAAAGATCCGATAAGAAAGAGAATTAGATAAGTCTATATATCTATAACTAAATCACGTTTTTCATAGAAGATAATAAAATTACATAAAAAAACGTGTGCATTCAGATAAATATCTAATCGTTAAGATTAAGTTAAAAGATAAGACGGAAGAAGTTGATAACTGTCACGTACAGCACATTACACTTATATATTGCTAAATGGGAAGTTACAATATTGAATGTTAGTGTTAATTGGTGTTTATTGAGGAAATATTAAGAAACGGTAACTTTGGCAAATACACACGAGGTAGATCGTTGGGACAAATAACGTTAAACAACGTCGGGTGAGATAAGTGACGTAAGATTACAGAGGCACACTGCGCATGTAGTGAAAGCCTCGCTAAATTCATGCCTCGTTATTTCGTGTACATGTCTGCCCAAGGATTGCTGCTGGCAGGTAAGACCTCGTAAATGAGAGTTCAGTCTTATCTACACCCGCAAGATACATATCTATCGCCTTAAAGAGCAAATCTATATGATCAACCTGAGTGCCCTTATGCCCGAAGCTCATTGTAATGACTCAAAATTTACTATACGTGTCGAACAGATAAGGACAACACGGCCATCATAGTCGGTGTCGTCGTCGCCATAGCGGTGCTGCTGGGTCTGTTGGCCATCGGGCTGTTTGTGCGAAGAAGAAGAAGTCAAGGTCGCAAGACGACGGAAACCAGAGCTACTGACAACCTATCGTTGCCAGACAGCGTCATTGAGACCAGGTGACCACAAAAAAGTGCAATGTTTTATCTTTTGATATGAGATCATGATGATAATTATTGTATGCAATCTTCAGTCGGCCTATCAAAGTCGAGGATTTTGCCGAGCACTATCGTACTATGTCGGCGGACTCTGACTTCCGGTTTTCGGAAGAATTCGAAGAGCTGAAGCACGTCGGGAGAGACCAGCCGTGTACCGCGGCGGACTTGCCTTGCAACAGGCCGAAAAATCGCTTCACGAATATTCTTCCGTATGATCACAGTAGATTCAAGCTCCAGCCTGTCGACGATGAAGAAGGCTCTGACTACATCAATGCCAATTACGTTCCGGTACGCAGTGTTCGCCCTCCATAGATATAGGAGCAGCCAAATACAGACACCCAATAGTGAAGATATTGTAACGTATCTAACATGTTTTTACGATGTCACAGGGCCACAATTCGCCACGGGAGTTTATCGTGACTCAAGGCCCGTTGCATTCGACTAGGGACGATTTTTGGCGGATGGTGTGGGAGAGTAATAGCAGAGCTATCGTAATGCTGACAAGGTGTATCGAGAAGGGAAGAGAAAAATGTGATCATTACTGGCCGATGGACACTTTACCTGTTTATTATGGAGATATTTGCGTCACCATACTCAATGAGACGCATTATCCGGATTGGAGTATCACAGAATTCATGTTGTGCAGAGTAAGTGATCTTATAAGTGGTTATGAACAGTGCTCAATACGTATTTACCGAAACAGTTTCGTCAAATTTCATTAAATCTTTACGCGTTTTTCGTCCTTCTACTGAAATGTGATATTTTTTTGTTACAGGGAGACGTGAAGAGAGTGATACAGCACTTCCACTTTACTACCTGGCCCGACTTTGGTGTCCCTAGTCCACCTCAAACCCTAGCTAGGTTTGTGCGAGCGTTCAGGGAACGAGTCAGGCCTGATCAAAGACCCATAGTCGTTCATTGTAGCGCCGGCGTAGGTCGTAGCGGTACTTTCATCACTCTCGACAGAATATTGCAACAGATATTGGTATCAAAGTATGTAGACATCTTCGGGATCGTTTGGGCGATGAGAAAGGAACGAGTCTGGATGGTCCAGACAGAGCAGCAGTACATTTGCATCCATCAATGTCTTTTGGCTGTCTTGGAGGGGCAAGATACCACTGGACCACCGCGAGAGATTCACGACAATCAGGGATTTGAAGGTACGTATCCAGATATTCTACACTGCTGTCAAAAAATATCCCAAGTTAATTGGAACGATTGCGGGACGAGTTGGTTGATCAGTGACACGAAGTGTGGCTTAATTACTACGCAATCCCCATGGATAATCGGAGCACTAGTTGTTGAAGGATGGGAACATTGAAAAGAGTTGATCGTAGTGCATGTATTGGCGAAAATCTCGATGGAGAATCTATGATCTGTTACATGTTTTCTTTGTGCGAAATTTTTCTCGCATGAAGACAAGTTAAATGTCTTACTGAAGATATATGTGAAGTCAATATTAATGAAGGAATAATAGTATGTTTCATAAAATACGAATAAACAGTGTAATATATAAAGGGAGCAATTTTCAATTGGTGATGGTGGCGGTGTGGTTGTAGACAGTCGTTAGAAGCACACGTTACTTTGTCTCACGTTTGATAACAATGGTTGCCCCTCTCTGTAAAATGGTATCACTTCCTCACCCGGTAACTCACACCTTCCTCTTTGCAATCTTTTGCGACCTTTGTATTCAGGCAAGAATCGAAGCTCGGTCGAAAACACTAAGAGTCCCGCCGAGGATGAGAAGGAAAGGTGACCCTCAAACAGCGACTCCTGCATCGACGGTAATTTCGATGGTCGCTTTTGTTCTTTTCTGCATGAGAATGAGCGTCACAGGAATTTTATGGCAAAATTGTGCATTAATCGTGTATGCTGTGCATGTATAAGAGAACAATATATACGCAACTTTACTAAACGTCGACAATATTTTGTCAACAATGAAAATGCCTGCTGTGTATATATACACACACACACACATACTGCCTTAATTATTTAATAATTTTTATAACTTTCAAGGAATAACTGCATCGAGCAAGATTCATCGATCAATCACCAAATAGATTTGTTTGTAACGAGTTTTTATCTAATTTTGCTTAATATAATAAATAGTTTGATACTTTATTTTTGTAAAATTCGAATTTACACATAATCTTTTCACTATTTTACTATTTTTCATTAATATTATGCTGTGTGTAAAACACACAAATGTTTTTCGTCGAAGAGATGTTGTTTGGATGTTTTGGAAAAACAAGCAGCTTTTTGAATGATATCAATTTATCAATAATTACACAAAACTTGCCTTAACTATTTAATAATTTTTATAACTTTTAAAGAATAATTGCATCGAGCAAGATTCATCGATCAATCACCAAATAGATTTGTTTGTAACGAGTTTTTATCTAATTTCGCTTAATATAATAAATAGTTTGATACTTTATTTTTGTAAAATTCGAATTTATACATAATCTTTTCACTATTTTACTATTTTTCATTAATATTATGCTGTGTGTAAAACACACAAATGTTTTTTGTCGAAGAGATGTTGTTTGGATGTTTTGGAAAAACAAGCAACTTTTTGAATAATATCAATTTATCAATAATTACACAAAACTTGCAATGTAGCTTGCATCGGGCATGATTGCAATAAAGGCAAATGAAACAACCAGATAGTTACAAATCGCCTCTAATTTAATCTGTTGTCTTACAGATGACGAGGGAATAGCCGAATCAGGAATGTGATGGTTCAGACGCTGGTTAGGAATAATAAATGATGACGACAGCAGACGACGATGGATCTCGCCTTTTCCAAAGGTGCTCGAGTCTCCTGGATTCCTCAAGTTTCTTTGGAAAGAAAACGTTAACCAGAACAATTGCGATTCGAATGTCGGATGAAGGGAAGAGCGCACGAGGTAACAGTGATAATTTGGCGATTAGTCAGTTGGCGAAACGAAAATCGATAGAAGAAGTCAGCGGCTTGAGATCGAACGAGGTGACGAGTTTCGTATGGAGCAACGAGCGAGCGCATATTTTTATTCTTTTATCGTCTACATATCGAAGAGAAGCGTGTTCAATTCGTAATACATATATAGTATAGCGTTTCACGGCCGTGATAATATTATATCGGAATTGTGTAAAAAGTGAGGCTCTGTAGCAGATAACTCGAGAGGGAACGATATCAAATTGAATATGCTGCCAAGTATGGGATTACGAATCAAACGTACGCGACGCTTCGCGTTGTGCAATGTATTACTGTGTGACTCATGTATACATATCTATACATATACATGCATACATATATCTATTCACTAGGTAGCAGTTTCCGGGAAAGCTGATAAAGCGCGCGCAATGTTGGTAGATATAAGTCTCGTGTATCGTAACGAGTGCAAGGTCGTAATATTCCACTGGTTGTGTCGCGATGGGGCCTCGGACCACATCGCATCCGCAATGAGTCTGTCGCGAATGTCTTTGATAGGTCATTTCGAGTGAATCGAATTGTCTAGACGTATCACAAACTGTCTTGGGTTCCTCCTGATACAAATATTTCTCTGAGATTACCACCAATAACACTTTGTTCATATTCTACGTTCCAGAACAGACGGGAAAGAAGCTGTCTTGTGTTGCCTGATTGCACTTTCTTTTTTTTTCTTCAAAATTAACGCGGTCCTATTGGAAGACCGGGGAAAAAAGATTGTATGAATTTTGTTTTTCTATGGTCATATATGATCATGCATGTAATTATACATACGTCCACAACGAAAAAAATAGTCTTATACAATCAAAGTAAATGCTTATCCTTCTGACAGCATATAAGATATCGATGATTAATTGAATGAACTTATTTCCCTTTCTCATTTAATATTCTTTTCTTCCATGTGGACGTATACGATTATATACGTGACGATATAGGAACAAAATTTATATATAATTTTATATAGGGTGTTCCAAAAAGATCTACGAAGCGCTCAAAGTTACATAGAGCGTTATCCCATCAAGCTTCAGAGCGATTCGTTGCGAAAGTGAGGCACAAAGACCCCCGATAATCGCGCCGGTTAAGTTATTATTCGGAGTGGCAAACCGTCCGTCCAAGAGCCGTATTAGACGTGCTAGATGATGATTTAATAAGTAATAACATTAACGCGTTATAAACAAATTACCTAGAATGAAAATCGGTGGGATGAGCGGGTGTGGATGTACTACGGAGCTTTTAATCGATCCTTCTTTCTGAGATGGGCGAAACAATGTCAGTGGGAACAAGAAACTCGCATTTTCGTAGGAGCCATATCACTTTTAAAAGGAGTCACAGTACGTGTGTATATGTGCGTGCGCGTATAGGTGTGTGCGTGCGTGTATGTAGTCGATTGATAATAGATCGGAGCCGTCACGTTTCATCATTACATACATATTGCATATACGGTCGCCGTAGAAGAATAATACGTCTTCGCTTATTTGCAAATATGAGGAAACAGAATTTTTTCACACACACGCATACACATACACACTGTGTAGTAGATTGAGAATAGCCATACGGACGATAATTCTCAGTTCTGAGATAATTTCACCTAAGCAACGCTCTTGGTTTTACAATTTGAGATTTCTTCTTGATAGCGACCATCGGTGTGCAAGACAAAAATTAGATTATCACTTACAGTATTCAGTGTGCTTTTCTCGCGGTGATATCCTAGTATGTTGTACTTAATTTTATACTCAGCGCGTCGCGAAATGTAATTGGTTACATATTGTAGATAAACAATAGTGATTGACAAACTTTCGTGATTAGTATTAATTGAATTTCTCTTGTCGGATTTTCCAAAGACATAAAATTAAAAATGAAAAGGTATCGTGTTTATTGATCGTTGTATTTTGGATGTATTTTGGACAAGCATTTACATCATGCAACGCAGATAAATCATTCTTCTTCTTTGCGAAGGTACTATTGTTTGACAAATGATGTTGAATTTCTAGTAATCTTGTTACGCGTTATTTGATATTTCTAGCCGATCTCCCAGTCTCGCATAATAATGTTTACAACTGACATTTTAGCACGTACCTAAATGCTACTTTTTAAATAATTCGACGATCGATGAGTCCTCGTAATACTCAGTTCATTAAATAGAAAATTTTTCCTATTTTTATGCTGCAAAATCAATTATTGCGATATAAAGATTATCGAAGCATCTCTCGTATTGGCGAGATGCAATTTTACATGTTGATCTGTTGCAACTTTTCACTTTTATATGCTTATTTTTTTAAGACACATGTACCGTATATGAGGTTGTATTTTATTTAATTCGAACATAATATCGTCGTTATGGAATATATAATATGCATCGACAAGTGTCGTACACGAACAATTTAATATCTTGTACAATTCTTCAGCGCTCTCAGTAAACACAAACTATCTATAATGTAATGTCAATGTTATGATTTCCAACTCGACAATGTAAGTGCAATGTAAACGTGTGTTATATTAACAGTTACAGTGTTGATTGAGAAGTTATAACACTGATGTAACGTTACTGTTAGTTGCTGTTTATATTGGACTGCAATATAACATTGCAATACTTGGTTAAATGGAACACTACACATGTATACATAATTAGAGTCTTATATATTAAGAGCCAAGCTTAAATATTATCTATTTTATTATCGTGTTATCGACTACCTTTTTAATTGTAACTACGATTATCGTTTGCAATATTGTCACTAATGTCACTAATGTTGAAAATTGTCACGTTTACACGTATCGTAAGTACTAAAATCTTTCGCAACAATGTCGTCGTACTCGAATGCGTCAGTTGCACCATCAATAGTTTAAGAACGCATTTACGTGTTCCTTTCTAAAAGTGGAGATAGATAATTTGCTACGAACAAAAAATAATTCTCTATCCCGCGTTTAGACATATACACAGAAAAAGCTATACGTCTACTCCGACTCTCAGAAAATCAAGTAGCTTTTCGTGCAATCATGATCGCTGTTATTTTATGCAGTTAAAAGAGGGAGGGAGGAAGAGAAGGAGGGAGGGAGAGGTATTGTTTGTTAGATTTTAATTTAGGGACAAAGTTACGTTGAGAACGGGAAGTACGTGGATTGAATTCTGATTCGCGAACTTAGCTTAGCGTTCGGATTGTTTTGTATTACTTTATTCTGTGATAAATCACGATCGTCGATCAAGGACGAGGAACAAAAGACCGATCAGGCACAAACGCAGTAGGTCTTCCAGAACGGATTGATGACAAAATCGACTAGTGTCGCTGTCGCCTGCGTTAATTCGTACGAGTCAGCCGTCGAGACAACCTTCGAAATCCAAAAATTGCAGGGTGAAATATTGTATTACGCGTCGAAGCGTACATTTGCAGTGCGATATTGTACATAATTTTACACTAAGGTCTCGCGTCAGGGTTATTCGCAAACCTTCGCCCTCAGGAGTGATTCTTCGCGAAGGACAACGGCGAAACTGTAAAAGAAGGACCTTTGCTCGAGGCATATCGATTGCGAGATACTCAAACGGCGGCAGCTACCACGACTGCGCCAGTAACGCCAGTGACCTGCTCATGCGCGGCTTGTGAAATTTAAATCGAATATCTGAAAGTAAAAGCGACAAAAAATTGCTACTTCCGCCGCCGAGTTTCGCCGTTGTTTCTCACAAAGAATCCACGTTCACGGACACAAGCGCATATACGCTCGGCGTATATATATGTGTGTATAGGTTAAAAAACTCTTTTGTAAATATATTTTATACCGGCTGCAAGGACAGTCCGATATACGCGAGGACGGTTTTACGAATCAAAGAATCTCACATTATACCTTGGATACGATTCGCAAACTCGTTCGGTCATTTCTGTCACATAATGTCGTAATACGTATTACTACAGAATGAAAATTTGTACAGCGTGAAAAAAAAAAAACATGAAGGGGCACAGGTTGTCCCGTAATATCATATACAAATATACGAGGAAACAGAGAGACACGCTTGTATAATAAACGTGACTCTTCCAGTGATCGTTTTCTTCTCATTCCATCTCCCTTGACCGCCATTGACAAGACATCCTTAATAAATCAACGACACATGAGTGAAATCAAGAAGAGAAAATTTTATTAACAGATCACATTTAATTTTTCGCTGAAATATCGTCTTCGATATAACTGATTACTTTGATCAATTTCTAATCGCGACTTTAGGTAGCTTAAAGAACTTTCTCCTTTCATTTTGACAGTAACAAAGTTACTAAGAATCAATAAGAATACTTCAGATTTTGCGTTTCGTCGGCCAATTTTTCCGACGTAGATAATATCGGCGGATTGTCAATCGTCTTTGAGTTTGACGGTACTCTTGATGATAACGTAGAATTGTATTTGTCCCGTTTATTTGCTTCAGTTGCGGTAGTTTTGCTCGCGGACAGACCTATATTTGAAATGAATTATCCGAGCTTTTTCTTTTTTTGAAGTACAAAATACAGTCGTCATCGAATTTCAAAAAACTTATATTAGTTAGCTTATATTAATTCTGTAGTTTCTTTAGCATCTATCTATTTGCAGAATCAAAGTATGATAACGTAATGATGCCGTAAGCATCAACAACAATATTTCTCCAGCAACACGTGGATAATCGCGTACTTGAAAAGGAAGCATTCAGGATCCGAGGAATCTCGTTGCTTAATCGAGATGCCTCGATATCAAGACGCGGCCTACTGATAAAGGATCGTACGACGAGTTTCTTTGAATCTTTACTTTCCTCTCAGTTGACTGAACATTCTGGAGAGAATTCCACGCGCGGTGTCCTCCGCGGACTTATCGATAACCCCATTGTCCTCATTATGAGGATGCCTACGTAGTATACGACTCAGCGATCCTGCCCGAGGACGAACAAAAAGTTTCTTGGGGGAACCGTCTTTGTCGACGAGCTTAAGTATCCTTCCTAAAGAGTTTGTCTTTTCTTTCCTTGATGGCTCCCCGTCATAATTATCGACGCTTGTCACATTCTGAATAAACGAGCCGAAAGCGTTAAATGTGTAAGCCGTTGAAACTTCTGCCTTACGCGTCAGATTCGTACGATGTGATTCAAGATCACACGCGGATTCTAAAGCCAACTCTATTAAATGTTGACCAACGACACTTCGCGACATATTCTCTAAATTTCTTGGAGTGGCGTTTCACCAAAAACGAGCGAAAGTGACAGTATTTTCATCTGAAGCGAAAATATCACCACTCGAAATCGCAAAAGTGAACGTTTCACTCCGGCTTGGACTCCACATAGCGAAGTAAGTTCAATGATTTGAGTGAACATATTCTTGTAACGATCAAGTACATCAGATTCACTTTCCAATTTCGAATAAAAAACACTCGGCGATTCAGGGTGGGAGAATTCACTCCATAGGAATGAAAAATCATCCGAATGATCCGGTGGTTACTTTACTTTTTGAATGATGTTCCTCGATCTAGCAGCCGCCAAGAAATTTAGAGACTACACAAAACGTGTAATCCACACTGACGAGCTTAATATCGCAAGCGTTACGCGTTGCAATCCGTTCTCATCACTCCGACAATCTTAGGACTCAAACTTTCTTCATATATCACGAGATTTTACCGAAGTCCGAGCGCCGTGCGTACCTCCAGAATCCCTTTACATTTGCGAAACATGACGCCTGGAATATCCAAATCACTTACGGCGTCCAAGGCGGGTCCTCCCACGGCGGGCGTACGTGTCTTAAATATCTTCCCCATTCTACCTAACGTGACACTCTTCAGCCTCCTGACGTCCTGCCTAACGGCTTCGGTCCTCGACATCGTTCGGGTTAATTTCGGCGAGCCCCCTGATCCTGTTGGGATGGCCTGCTGAGCACCGGCAGAATCCGTCGTCGTCCCGGAGATGACAGGTGTTACTTTGGCGACTGTTACATCGTTTGTACCATAAGAGGAGTCAATAATTCAAATAATACGTTGATGATAAGCCGACACAATCGCTAATTAACAAATATCAGTGATTGACAGGACGTACGTAACGTTAAATTCAATACGTGGCAAGACTAGAAATTTATCTCATGGTCTTGATCAGATTTATTCCAATCAGTTATTTGGACTAAGAAAAAATAACTTGATAACAAAATTTGAAAATTTACTTGTACAAGTTTCTCTTGTAGTGAAAAAAATGTAGGGCTGTATTAACATAAAGTATTCGTTTCTTGGAGCATCCTTGTTTAAAAATAATTAAAAATAAAATATTTAGCAATTTATTTTGGTTACCCTGGTTGCCATTCCGAAGGTAAACAAAAATACGTTCGTTAAATTCAATACGTGGTCAGACTAGAAATTTATCTCATGGCCTTGATCAGATTTATTCCAATCAGTTATTTGGACTAAGAAAAAATAACTTGATAACAAAATTTGAAAATTTACTTATAAAAGTTTCTCTTGTAGTGAAAAAAATGTAGGGCTGTATTAACATAAAGTATTCGTTTCTTGGAGCATCCTTGTTTAAAAATAATTAAAAATAAAATATTTAGCGATTTATTTTCCACATAAAAGCTATGTGGTATTTAACTAGATGAGTAAAAAAAGTATCAATAATTTTTGGGTATTTTTTCGAGCATTCCAAGTGGATAAAATCAAATAAAAAAATTAATGTAATGACCCTGGTTGCCATTCCGAAGGTAAACAAAAATACGTTGTCATTCGGAGAGTTAATAATTAGGGGACCCGCACATCACTTTGTACAAACCCAAAAAACTAATTAAAACCAACCAGGATTATGGGATAAAGTTCTAGTCGGGAGAATCGACGTGAAACCCGGAGGATCCTTTTTAATACTTCGTCTCTGCAAATAAACTGCTCTCCCCATATCTCGCGATTGGGTGTCTCGATCGATAACCAGTTCCACCCGTCACACGGTGCTCGTAGCAGGTGGACACGGATAATTCCTGCGATTGAAATGCGACTCGCAAGCGAAACCTATGCATTAAACAAAGCGACGGCAGATCTTCCGATGGACGGCATGAGAGATCAAACGAAAGTAATTTCGTTTGTCATTGCGCCGGAACTGTAAGCCTGTGAAATTATATCCGTACAGTCACGGACGGACAAGTTTTTCTTTTTTTTTTCATCGCAGAAGCGCGTGCAGATGTTACAGCGAGATAAATCACAGAATAACTCCGTCGGAGTTCCGCAACCTCGACAACGAAAGCGGAAATTTTCAACGGAATCTCATTTTCCGAACTAACACGCCCCACGAACTTCGCTCTCTTCTTCAGGGACTCCACTGTATCTTTTATCGTTACAGAAAGGAGCAGGTCGAGAATAGCGGAGTGTGATGCAATCGATTAACGTAAATGTTACATTTCCAGCAAACGGTGTTATTCCGATCTGGGGAACGAATGAATGCGCGTCAAGAGCGATTTAATAGACTCACTCTGCGATACGCTCGGCCCAGAATCGTTGATTACTTCCTGTCCTGCAAACGTTCTGTCATCCTCTCCATGACGGATGCTGCCAGCATCAATCTAGTACGGATATTTACTTCGGTGAGTCCCCTTTTCACTTTCAAATTCTAACACTATTCTCGTTCAACGACCATTGGTGAGTCGGCTATGCCGACAATTCGATATGATCAAAATATACGGTCGGGTAAAATCGACCAGTGCAACTGACTTGATCATACAACTGATCGCTCCTGAAAGCTCCCGCGTCTGGCTTATTCTGCATCCTGCGTGTCCGGCAGGAATTTTCAGTCGCCTCTAGCGTGATCCTTGATTTCTGCACGAGTCCTGGACGAACGCGACGTCACATGGCAACGGTTCTCGATCTGACATTAGCGACGGTTCCGTTCACGCAAACTGCGTAACAATCGCGGGGGCTGTATCGATCCTTCGCGATTCTTTGTTCCGGCGCGAAGATACGAAGGTTCGAACGGTGAGAATGTCTCATTTCCATCAGAAAGCGTTCCGTCATGGGGTTCGAGCGGGCATTTTGGTCTTGACTTTTTGCGGACTGGCGCGTATAACTTATCGAATTTCAATCAGATGGAAGAACACGGGCAGTATGCAGACGCTATTACGACTATCAGATGACAGATCCCGTTTACGAGTCGCTGTAACGATACCTTTCATCCCCTCGGGACAAGATCTTCGGTAATTTCGCATTGAGGGGACGGATAGTTCCGAAAATACCCGGGTCGAAATTTTAGTCCTATATTAACTTGCCAAATTACGTTAAAGAACCAACAAGGAATCCCAAGACGTAACACTGTTATTATTTCTTTCACAAATGTTTATTGACATTTTTGCCTATTGAAGAGAACACACACAAGCGCTGATTTCAGATATTTAATATTCAATTATCTCGATATTTTGCCTACATTAAATTTTCTTTTGGTTTCGATGAGCAATGTATTAATTATGTAATTTATTCGACTGCAGAATATGAAGGTATAAAATAATTTATCAACTAATATTAATTAATTCCACCCCTTCTTCCTAATTTTTATATAACGGAACTAATGGATAAGAGAAAATTTTCTTTATCCATAATCATTTATTATTTCTTATTGGCGTTGGAAATTTCAAAAAGATTTGCAGATTCAAAAAGAACATCTTTGAAGCAAGTTTTTTTTTAGTTTTGACAAGCCCAGTATATTAATTATGTAACTTATCCAACTGCAGATGAAGTACGAGGAAATATGAAGTAATTAATCAATATTAATATTATTCATATTTGGATAATGGGCAAAAGAAAACAAATTTTCCTTTTTCACAATTCGTTTAGTATTCCTTATTGACGTTGGAAATTTCGAGATTTGTGGATTCAGAAGGAGCGAAAATAGAGATTAAAATTTGGACAACACCGACTCTTTGAATAGAAATGAATAGATAGCGTTGGTATGTTCAAAATAAGACCTAATGTGTTTCGCGAGTGTTGATTGTTGTGATCTCTCGGTCACCGAGATCAGGTGCGCGCGTCATTGATTAGCGGGCGACGGTTGGCGACTGCTGGGGAATCCTTCTCGAGGATTGTTTTTGTATTCCCGTGCGTCGCGTACCTTTCCGTGATCGAGTCATTACGTTCCGAGGCGAGACGAGCGGCGCACGTACCACGACGCGTACTTACCATTCCCGTTAGATGATTGAAATATTTCGCCGGCTTTCTCGGAATATTGAAATCGGGGCACCGTCGACATCGCGTTTATTTAAATCGTATCCACGCGCGTGTCAGTGTTAGTGCCAGTGTGTTAGTGTCACAATGGAGCAGCCGGCAGACAGGATGCTGGACCCGGAAACTAGGACGTTGGACGCAAGAGACGTGGGCAGAGATACATCATACATGTCCAGGTGTGCCAAATTATTTATTATATAGGATACTTTCAATCTTGACAGAATCTTGAACGAGTTCACCGAGTGTACGGACATACTCGAGTCGAATTTCAACCCAATTCTATTATTATTTAATCCAAGATTATTTAATCCAAGATACGTTATTTAATCCAAGATTTACAAATGTGTGTGTGTGTGTGTGTGTGTGTGTGTGTCTGTAATCTTATTCTTCAATCTGTATTTATATTCCGCCAAAAATATTGATCGAAATGCTTGATCCATAAATACGAATCTGTAATTAATTCTGCTCGTAATCAAATATTGGAATGAATTCACTGCTATGACATTAAAATCTCGCAAGTGATTTTTACGTCTAATAATGATGCTTGAGTCGAAAGTCCTGTTTTGTGAACATTCTTCTTTTTATTGTACGCGAACGTGCAACTCATATAATTCTAATTCAGTTTGGACGATCGAGATTAATCACGATGTAGTAAAAAAAAAAATGCTTTTTTTTCCCACGAAACGAATAATATTTCTCGCTGTCTCTTGAGAGTCGAGAGCTCGAAACTAGAACAAATTTCGCACGGAACGTGTTCGCGAGAAGCAAGCGGCCTCCGTGCGGCTCCTGCCTTTACATTCACGCACGCGTGTACGGTATTACGTATTTGCTCCTGAGAATCATAACCAGGTTGTCCGAAAAAAAATCCGGAGTTTCATTTAAGGGGGAGACCTTAGGTATCCCCTCAGGTAAGATTAACCCGGGGTGATTAATTGGATCGTAAAATAATTGTATCCTTCTCCTGCTGGCGCGACTTATCGTCGGTAAACGTCCGATGTAATTCGTCGAGTTTGCGAAATTCTGAATGAACGAATTTTCGGGCGCTCGTAAATTATTTCACTGAGACCCCCGTCCAGCCCGGTCATCTCTATTTCCCTCGGCGATTCAATCAGTAGATAAATGCAGCACTTATAAGACAAATTAATCTCTAATCTCTTTTGTATAATAAAAAACGATTCAGTTTCTACGGTTACGCTTTAATGTCATTATATAATTATGATAAATAAAGTAAAAGTACAAATTAAGGTATGCTTGAACGCGCACTTAACTCTTAACACTTTTATCGTTTTGGTCTTTAAATATGAATTTTTTCAAAACATAGAGAATACATACATACATCACATAGAATGCACTAACGAAAACTTATAGTAGATTGTCCGATTAAATTTAATCGGATACTTTCGATTATAATGACATTTTACCAAATGAACTGATCACAAAATTATAAATTGATATTTCCTATCAAATGATCAAATACAAAAATTCATAGATATTTTAATCGCAAATACCCGTTTGTTAATTTTTTATCGGATTTTTCTCACTGCACATTCTGTTTCCTAAGTGTACTGAGTTACGTACATGACTGATCAAAAAATTATGAATTGATATTTCCCATCGAATGATCAGATATAAAAATTTATACACAAAGAAAAATAATTTTGCTCTTTTAGCATAATCGTCATTGTTACTGCATATTTGTAGTGACATCAAAAAAATTTAGTTGACATATCTAATTTTATAAATTATTCGTTATCAGAACAGAAGTAGTTTCGTTGCCAGGATAGAAAAAATTGGTTGAGTGTATTTGTCCTAAAAATCATGTTAATTTGCTATTGTTGCAAAATAATGTACCCTTAACAAATTTATTTGCTATTGAAGCAAAACTGCAACTGCTTATATAAATCCATCATGGTTTTTATAGCAAAATAATTTGTAGATACAGCAAATTATATTCAGCAAATAGTGATTAGTACTCTTAGCAAATTTTTTTGCTGTCCATATAATAACGAAAAGATTTTGCTAGGTCAGCAGAAAATTTGCTAGGCCAGCAAATTATTTTTCTCCGTATTTTGATCAGAAATATCAATTTGTTAATTTTTTATTAGATTTTTCTCAGTGCACGTTCCAGATTTTATGTTTCCCGAGTGTACAGAGTTACGTACATAACCAGATATTAGTATTTTAATATTTGCGCGTAAAGATTGAAGTTTAAACGCAATTTTAATGAAATTTAACCGGTGGAAAGTCCTATACAGGTTTTAATCTGCCTATTGTCGGCAGTTGAACGCTACAACAGAATCAGATACTCGCATGATAAATTCGCGCAGGAAACACGCATAGAACACTTGTAAAGCAATTCCATCATTCCAAAAGTTTCAGCATTCTCTGCCTGTCTCGCCCTCTGTCTGCCTAAAACGACGCGTGACGCATGCCATCTGACAACATAATATGTGGCACTCTATATCATAATAATATCAACTGCTGCGTGACATAACATGTAACGATATAATTTATGGAAACGCAAGGGTTGACTCGCGCCGCGCAAAAGTGGGTGAGAAAGCCCCGTGGTTGCGCGCGAACATTTCCTCAGATCGCATCCGAGTGTAATTAATTCTCACTCCCTGGATTTTGAATTAGTGAGCAGATCGCGCGTACGTAAGCAATTTATTAATTAGACAGCACGCGCAAATGGCTAATTAACAGCAAATTCCGATCTGTCTATATTACCCACAAAATTAATTTTTCTGATTGTGCGTCGCGCAGCCTATAAACACTCTAAATTTGTTGGAATGAAACTTCACTCCAAGGTAGTGAAAATTCAAAATTCAGTCAAAGTTAGAGCGAGAACTGCACTCCAAACGAATGAAAAAATTGCTCGCTTGAAATGAGTTCTCACTCGTTTGGAGTGAGATTTCACTCGTTTGGAGTGAAATTCTTGCTCTAACTTTGTCTGGCGCAATTTTCATTTGGAGTGAAGTCTCACTCCAAGAAATTTAGAGTGAACGGTTCTTCTTTTTTCTTTCAATGCCATTTTGTGTGCGTAAATATCGAAGTGGTCCTTCACGCTGATTGGCAGGTTTTAATGGACTGTGAAGGATAGCCTTAAAGAAATAGAATTGCAAGGAATAAAAGGGTACAAGATAGCCCACCTGAGCCTCGTCTAACAATGTAAAAGGGTAGGCCGTCGAAGGGATCTATTCGCACCACACGCCACCTGATAGCTGCGTTTCGATTTCCTGCGAGTTTCGTGCGTGTATCGTGCAAACTCGAGAGACTGGGCGACGTGGGAAAAAAACAGGAAATATTTGGCAAAGATAGATCGATGCGTGTATCTCTTCTCAAATATCTGTGAGGATATTCAATTCTCGCAGAGAAACAAACGTTCTAACCATTGTGTTGATTGTATCTCACGGAAATCGAACTGGAAATATTCTAAAATAATTATCGCTCGATAAGTGATGCTTTTCTGTCCTTCTTCATTTTTCTACTTTTTTTAAGTTGAAATGTCCAATAGTCGCGCGTAATTCCGCATTTTGGAATATCGTTCGGAAGCTTACTTGCATGCCGCAAGGAATTTGCAAGGAAGTAACGTAAGAAAATTGCGCGCAGTTTCCACCTGGGGCCGCAGATGGGAACGGCAAAAGTTTTTCAGGCGACAGTCAAGCGTATCCGACAGCAGGAAAAATATGCCATGAATCATCAGCGGCGCTGTTTGAATGTTTCGGCAGAATTTGCATATATTTCGTGTACCGCGGACAATTCAATCGAGGTGGCGCGACGGAATATTTAATATAGACATTCTTTGATACCGGAGCAATTTTGCGCGCAATTTTCGTGGTATATTTAAACGGAATTTAAAATAGGTTTCGTCTGATAATTTATTCCTCGCGCATAATTCGGAGTCACGTAGGGTGATTGAATATCCCCGCGAGATGTCAACAAGAATAACATAACCGGAACTCTCTAATTAAGGGCGAGAGATTAAGGGTCGAGGTGACGGATAATTTGCATGAAAAATTTCACCGCAAAATGAAGTGTATAAGCGATTTTAATCATATGGTCTGCACACGCGCGCGCGGCGATGTAAACAGTTTGAGCAATATAATATCCTAACTTGTATCTTGACGCGCGCTTGTTTGAATGTATAATTCGCGGAACACGTCGAACTTAAACGTGTGAAACTTACAGCCTCAGAGATGGCCAAAGTTTACAAAGTATATGTTGCATTGCGTGTCTCGCTCGGTGTGCAGAGAGACATTTACAAACCAAATCGGTAATGGAAACTTGCGACGAGGTATTCCGCCAAGTATTTACCGCGGAAATTCGTGTAACGTGCTCTTAATCGGTGAGCAATTTTACATCGAGCCTTACAAGACACAATTTGGTGTTTATTTTACAACGTACTGTCAAAATTTCTTCACGGAAAAAAGAGATCTGCACTGAGAGAAAAATGTATAATATTTGGAACTATAATGGCATAATAAAAAGATTATAGTTAGAAATATCTTTTTTATAGTAAGTGTCATCATAATGTTTGTAATATTTACAATATAAGCATAGTATAACTGACTCATGTAAAACTTTTACCAAGAATTATAATTATTTTAAATAAAAAACATAGTAAGGTAGCAAATATTAAATGGTAAGAGAAATTAACTATTTTATATAGTTAAATGTTATATAGTTAAATGTTATATAGTTAAATGTTCAATACAATTGGAACATTTGGAAAATATATAATTATATTCCCAAAGCATGCTTTATTATACACAGAGTAGAGTATAATAAGATGATAACTATAAATGTGTGTTCATTCTGTTACATCTTCGTGTTTAGATGAACCATAAATATATGTTTGAGGCCAAAACAAACTATAAAATATAGTGAAATTATAGTTATTCCAACTATTTTTTTCTCTCAGTGTGTCACGTATGGACAACTAAAGATAATTTGCTATATTAGCTACATTTTCTTTGCTGCAGGAGTCAATTTCCTTGCTATGATAACAAGAAAATCTGTTCCTGCAACAAAAGAAGTAGCTAAAGCAGTAAATTATGTTTAGTTATCCATTTGCAGCAAATTTGCTACGTTAGCCCTGCTGTAGGAGCAGATTTTCTTGTTATTATAGCAAGGAAATAAGTTCCTGCAGCAAAGAAAAAGTAGCTAACACAGCGAA